CACAGGAGGTGAAGATAGATATCGTTTGAGCTCGTCGAAAGCCCCCTGGCATTCTGGAGTCCATAGAAAGCCAGCCGTCTTCCTCATGATCTGGAAGAAGGGTAGAGACTTCTCCGCCGATTTAGATAGAAAGCGGTTGAGGGCTGCCAGGCGGCCCGTCAACCGTTGAACTTCCTTCACATTGCGTGGGGGCTCCATGTTGATGATGGCCTGGATTTTCTCGGGATTGGCCTCAATACCCCTTCGGCTCACCATGTAACCCAAGAACTTTCCCCCTTGGACGCCGAAGGTGCACTTCTTCGGGTTTAGCCGAAGGTTGAATTTTTGCATGATGGCGAAGATTTCCCGGAGGTCGTCAGCATGGCTGGAAGATTGTTTGCTTTTGACGATCATGTCGTCAACATAGGCCTCCATGGTGCGCCCTAGGACGGCTTGAAAGACCCGGGCCACCATCCGGGTGTAGGTGGCCCCTGAGTTCTTTAGGCCGAAGGCCATGACTAGGTAGCAGAAGATGCCCTCGGGAGTCATGAAGGCAGTTTTTTCGGCGTCCTCCTCGTGCATGAATATTTGATGGTACCCTCGGAAGGCATCGAGGAAGGACATGATTTCACACCCCGCGGTCTCATCCACCAATTGATCAATGTTTGGTAGAGGGAATGGATCCATGGGGCATGCTTTGTTGAGATCGGTGTAGTCCACGCACATGCGGAAGGTAGGAGGCTTCTGTGCGAGGACTACATTTGCTAGCCATGAGGGGTATTTCACCTCCTTGATGTGCTTAATAGAGAGGAGCATGGTGACCTCCTTCTTCACAAATTCCCTCCTCTCGGCGGAGAGGGGTCTTCTTCGTTGCTGCACTGCCTTTGCCGAAGGGTCCACCGAGAGGCGGTGGGTGATGACCCTTCGGCTGATTCCCGGCATGTCCTCCGGCCCCCACGCAAAGACAGTGGAGTAGGCGCGGAGGGCGTCGGTGATACCGGTCTTCAAATCTTCAGGGAGCTGGGCTCCAATCTTCACGACTCTCTCCGGCTGGGCCGGATCGAGCGCAAAGTCTTCTACGTCCTCGGCCGGTTCAGCCCTCGGCCTTCTTTCCTCTTGGTCGATGGCTCCGGTGATGGTGTCAACACGGAATTCCGTTTTGCTTACCTTCTTAGTGACCTGAAGATAGCAGGCGCAGGCAATTTTTTGGTTCCCCCGGGAGTAGCCAATGCCCCCCTCGGCGGGAAACTTGAGGCAGAGGTGCCTCATGGAGATGATGGCTTCGAGGTCCTCGAGGGCTGGCCGGCCGAGGATGATGTTGTGGGCGCAGTCAATGTTGACGACGACGAACTCCACCTCGAGCTGGGCCCTATGGAGCCCGTCGCCGAAGATCACCGGGAGGGTTATTACCCCCTCAGAATCAATAGTGTCGCCGGTGAAGCCGGCAAGAGGGGTCTTAATGGGCCGAAGGGACCCCCTCTCCAGATGCAGCTCTCTGAAGGTGCTGAGGTACATTACATTGACGGAGCTGCCCGTGTCAACGTAAGTTCGGTGAATGATGGTGTCGTTTATCTCCGTCCGAATCACCAAGGCATCCCTGTGAGGAGAAAAAGTAGGAGGGAGATCTGCGTTGGTAAAGGTGATGGGTTCCTCCCTCAGTCGCTTTACCGGGGGCATATGAGTGACTTCCCCCACGTAAAGCGATTGAGCCCACTTCTTTCGTTGGCTGGTGGAATCGCCCCCTGTATTGCCACCGGTGATCATGAGGATGTGGCGTTTCTTCTCCTGGTAGTGGGGGTACTCCTCCTCCTCTTCTTCCAAGTTCCCGATCTCCCTCTTTTTGCCGAGGGGGATGGTGTTCGGATTTACCCAGGCATTTACCTTCGTATGGTGCCCTCGGGGAGGTCCCTGATGAGAAGGTCCCTCCTGCCGAGGGCTCTGGACAAATTGGGACAGGTGCCCCGCCTATATTAATCTCTCGATGGCCGTCTTCAGCTGATGGCAGTCATCGGTCCTGTGCCCCTGGTGCCGATGGAAGCGACAGTAGGGGAACTGAGGGTTGATAGCGTGTACCTCCGGGGGTGCGTGAGAGTCGCGCTCAACGAGGCCCCTCTCCTCGGCAAAATCGATGATGATGCTGACGGGGTGCGTCAATGGCGTCCGAGGGCGGTCCAGGAGAATGGGCTGGGCCCAAGTCTTAGGGTTGCTCTTATAACCTCCCCCGGGCTTGGCTTGGCCTTGCCGAGGGCGGTCATCAGAGGGTCCCGAAGCCTTGGGGTGATTTGGAGGAGCCCCCGGCCCTCGGTTATGCTTGTTGTCAGCCCTCGGGGGCTGCTGGTCCGGAAGCTGGTGATACTTTTCCACCTCCTCGGCCTCAGCATATCGGTCCCCCCGCTGCAAAGCCCTTATGTAGTCGCGGGGGGGTTCAATGATGAGGCTCCTTGAAAAGTTGCCGGTGCGGAGGACGGTTTGTAGGAGGGCCAGGAGGGTCCCGTCATCAGCACCGTCGACCTTGTCGGCCTCCGTCCTCCAGCGCTCTAGGAAATCCCGAAGGGTCTCATCCCTCTTTTGGCGTATAGTTAGGAGGTGGGAGAAGTGCTTCCTCGTGCGACGCCTCCCGGCAAATTGTGTCAAGAATCGCTGGGCGAGTTCTTGCCACGAATCAATGCAGCCCTCGGGCAGCCTGTTGAACCATTCGTACGCCGGCCCCTCTAAGGTGGAGAGGAACCAATGACACAAATATTCGTCTGACGCCCCCACCATCATCATGCTGTTCTGGTACTTGCTGTAATGTTCCTGGGGGTCCGTTTTTCCGTTGTAGGGCTGTATATGTTGCCCTCGGTATTTTTCCGGGATCCGGGCCACCAATACCCTTGGAGTAAATGGCGGTCGAGTCCGGAGCTGGATGACGGGTTCCCCGGAGCCCTCGGCCACCTTCTTCTGTAACTCCTCCATTTTGGCCATCATGGCCTCGTATTTGAGATCTGAATGAGGGGTGGAGGTGGTGGCGTGAGCTTTGTTGGACTCCATCTTGTCAAGCCGGCGTTGGAGGGCCGCAATAATTTCGTCCCGGGGATCCTTCGGGAGGGTCTCCGCCCTCTGCGAACGAACCCGGGCCGAGTGGTCCTGGTTGATCTGGTGCCGAGCATCATCGGCATGAAGGGGTGCCTTGCCTTTGTCCCGAGGGGGACGCTCCTCGTCTGCCCTCGAAACAGATCCCCCGCTTTCCTGGGGCCTTTGGAGTGCTTTCCCCCCGAGGCGGTCTTGGACCCCTCGGCGGTCTGGCCCTCCTCCGAGCCGGTTGAGGGCGGAAGTACGGGGCCTTTCCCTGTTGTCATTATGGCGGTCCCGGGACTGAACTTCCTGGGAGGACGTATCTTGGGCCACCACCCCTTCGTCGTTTCTCACCCGAGGGGTGGGATTTCCGAAGGGGTGTGGCAGAGGGGGAAGCATGATATTCTCCCCGATCTGAGGGTGAGCTAGAGCCAGGGTGCCGAAGGCACCCGGGTTCTGGGTGAGCGTCTGGATGAAGGCGGAGAGCGCCGATTGCACGTTGATGGTGAGAACCGGAGGGCTGACTTGGTCATCGCTCCGGTTTTTCTTCTTGGCCTCGATGCCGAGGCGGGCATCGGGGGCATTCTGTTGGATCTGAAGGCGTAGGTCGACAGCCGCCTGTTCCAACCCAGCGATGACACCACCCTCGGGAGCCCTGTGAGAGACTTCGGGGGCGTTGACGTCGCCGAGGGCCAGGTTCTTGTCTTCTACGTTCTTTGAGTTGGCACGTGTTGTCCTCACCATTTTGATAGAGGGCTAGTGTTTTGTGTTTGGTCGAGGGGGAGGGTTTCTTACTCGATTGTTCGACCTCTCAACGAGAGCACCAAATGATGGATAGTCTACCCGGGGGTATATATCCGAAGGGTTATTACGGGGAATAACTTAGAGAGAAGTCAGAGCAAGTAAGTAAAAGTAGAGAGAGAGTGTATTCAGTATGAATGTCGTTTTCAGCGTGGTTACAAATGAGGAAACGGGGTGCTATTTATAGTAGCAATAAATGCCGGACAGGGACACGTGTCAAGCGCTCATTGGCCGAGGGGTCACCTCAACTGGTTGGCGCTGGCAGCCGCATGTGGCCGCATTTAATGCGGCTGTTGGATGAGACGTCTGTGCAGGATACGGTGATCTGTACGCATGTGAGGCGGATATCTTGTCGAGTGAGATGCCTTCGGCCACAGAGCAGTAGCCGAAGGCTCCTCCAACCGAGGGCCCCTTGGTGCCGAGGGCTCACAGTACCGAGGGCTACTGTTTTCGCCGTTTTTTCCCAGTTTCTTAGTTTGATTGAGAAACCCGTTCTGTGAGAGTTTAGAGCCTTCGGCCAGGGGGCCGAAGGCACCCCTGACTCGTAGTGCGGGCTGCTTGGTACTCTGGGCGCTGTGATTTGGGCCTGTTGGGCCTTCGCTGGAGTAGTAGGAGTCTGTGGGCCGGGGGTTCCTGGGCCATATACTCCATCAAATACTTTTGCCAATTAGATTCAATTTTTCTTGAATCGAAATTTAAAGACTTCTTAAAGACTTCTTAATCTCCTAGATGTACTAAGCGTATTATTTGGAAATTGTGTTTTACTCACAATTAAGGTAATTACCCCACCCCTATCTTGACTCTGTTCCTGCCAATCTGCCATCCACGGAGAGAAGAGCAGCCATATCTCTCGGTCTCTCCCACAGTTTTCTTTCCTTGTAAGTTGTAACCAATAGCTAGCAATTCTGAATTTCCATGGGCACCGTAGATGAAAAGGAGGATGTCTATTCTGTGTGGGGCCTCCCGCCGGAGGATGTGTCGGCAAGAATCAAGAAGCTCATGGAGGGTATCAGATCAGAATTCGGCGGGCCCCAGTTCGAGCCGCACGTGACCGTTGTCGGTGGTATGAGGCTGACGGAGAGCGAGGCACGTGATAAGTTCCGGAAGGCCTGCGTGGGACTCAAGCCGTATGGCGCGACTGTTTCAAAGGTGGCCACTGGGTCATTCTTTTATCAGTGTGTTTTTCTTCTACTGCGTCCAACACATGAGGTGAATCTTCTATTCTTTGATCCGAAGCAATTGCTTTACTGCTGATCTTCATTCTCTACGTCTTCGATCGTGCATTTAAATCCAATAAATAAGTTGAATTTCTAGGAAACCGGGATTTTATAAGTTTCTGCAATACTTCATTAAGATATAAGGTAACGTCTGGTAGACCTAATGGAAATGGTTGTGGCATCAATTTGAATGTGGAACAATGTTGAGCTCAGCAGTGCTATGGCTGGTCACGTGTACCAATTTAAAATTGATTGGCTTGGGGAATAATAATTACATAAAAATTGAAGGCTTCTATCATTTGAATCCTTCTCATAATCTCTCGATTTAACATACAATCTGGTATAGTAAGATCATCAATATCTCGCGCTTTATGACCTCCACTGTTCTTTTATTTTCTTCATTAGTACCTTTTAATCGACATCATTCACATATTTAACTTTTTCGATATCTTCAGTCCTATGGTCACGAATACGAGCAAGTCTATAAATATATTTTTTCCTTCCTTAGAGTCCAATTTTACGTACAAGTCTTTGTCCACTTTCCACTTTCCCCTGTGCTTCCTTCACGGCTTTCTTAGCTTTTCATTTAACCTCCATGTACTCCTCTATGTTCTCATCACTCCAACTCTTCCCTAAATTTGTGTATCATTCCTTTTGTTCCTTATGACTTGTTTCTCTCATCATTCCATGAAGGTGTGTCATTTTTTGGTGGCAGACATCCTTTAATCCTCCGAGTATCTCATTTTCCATGCTCCGTGGATGACCATACTGTCTCCATATGTGCGTAATTATCAATACACCATACATCTTTACTAAACATTTTGTAATTAATAAGGAAAGTCATTCACTACCATAATTGAGAAATTCTTGGTGATTCTAATTTAAATAAAATAAGAAAGTAATTGGAATAATTCATCCTGATCTTATGTCGCCACTTATCCATTTTCCGAAGTTAGTCTTTCAGAATTACCGCATATTTGGGCTGCCTGGACTCCTAATTGCGAGATTTAGTGTCATTTATTCATATTAAGAACATCGGATGGCTCAATCTAATAATATCATAGATAACTGCCAGGTATATCAACCTAAGAGCTTTACATTGATAGCTCATTCTTGTTCATTGATAAGACTAAGCAAGGTTTCTTTTTTCTTGACTTTATTGGTTCCAGAATGTGTTTCTTGAAGGCTTTGTTTGTTGAGCCGTTCTAGCTTTAAAGGCCCAACCTCAACTTCTTGTGTAGTTGGCAAAGAGTTTGAGCCACCCGGAAACAGTTAGGTGTTTGAACTTCACCCTGGGCAATATTTGTGAGGTTCTATCCATTTTAATTGTGTACTGAGTTGTGTTAACCCTGTCAAGGATTAACCTCACCAAAATCAATATTTGTTCTGAGATAATTACTAGTCATATTCCATTGCAAAATCGATTTTATAACATCAACATGGCCCTCTCTAGACCACATTGATGGTAAGGTGGAAAAAGGAAGATGGCTACCTTACATCTTACCATACCTTATGAGGTCACTAATCTTCTTGCATCCACATATTTGGTCTGTGTGTGTGTGCAGTGTGAAAGCACATGTGACTTACTGTTGTTCCTCTCAGGTTGTGGAGGCCAGTGACCACTGCTGCAGTCACTTTGGTTATCAGAGACCGTCAGGTAGCACACATGTCCATAAAAACTTCATTTTCAGGAACAATTCATGAGCTTGATTTGATGTTTTGCAGCATACATGCCGCACGTAAGTCTCCTTTATGCTGATATCACTGACGAGGAAAAGAAGAGTGTTGCAGAGAGAGCTTATGCTCTCGATGAGACCATTGGCAGCTTGGAATTCCCTATAGCTCGCCTCGCTCTGTACAAATCAGATACGGAAGACAAAAGCCTCGAATCCTGGGCGAAGGTTGATGAGTGCAACCTAATTTCGCACTGATACATACCATGTTTCTCTATGTGCAAGACATAGTTTTCTTTCCTGTCTGTTTCTCTTGGTGCTCTGATGATACGTGTATAGAAGCAATAGAACCCCACTTGACCTTTTGTTTCCTTGATAAGTAAGAGGCAGTGATATTTTTATCATTTGTGATTTTTCTTTTGAAAAAATTGACAAGAACAATCCCAACTATTAGTGGTCTGTTTGAAATAATCCAAAGTATTAATTATCTCAAAATAATCCAAACTATTGAAAAATCTTCTCAAAATACTGCACTTGCTCAAAAATCCGAATTATTAATTATCTCTAATAATTGGGGTTATTCTTGTCCATTATTCCTTTTCTTTATTACTGTGCCATGTTGACGTTCTTTACTCTTTCCTTCCCATTAAATTTGGGATTGGGATCGAGTGTGAAAGTACAGATTGTGATAAATAATAACTGCACGTCCAATCGCACTAGACTAGACTACCAAAGAATATTGGGCAAATTCATGTTTTCTTAATTTCGATGCTGCTTCTCTGTTCCAAGTCTAATGGGACAAACATAGTTGAATGACAAGAGTACTAAATAAGTAAGAGGCATTCTATTTGTACACGTTCTTATACACTTGTCTGTGACTAGGGTTGGATTCGGGCTGGGTCGGGCCGGGCCGCCGGTTCGTATCATATGGGTCCGGGACCGGTCCGAGAGTTGGACGGGTCCGGTTCGGGCCGGGCCACCCGCCCGGGTCACGGGTCGGGCCACCCGCCGGGCCGGGCCGAGTCGGTTAATTTTTTTTTTATAATTTATATTTTATACTTTATAGTTTTATACAAGTATTAAAAAACAAACTTCAAGTGCATTTATTTGAAATGAAATAGGAACTACATTTGAAAATTAAATAGGAACTATAATTGTTTTTGAAACATGAAATACTAATAAATCATTCAATATTTCAATCGGAATCTCCGGCATAGGTAGAGTCACCCTCGGTTGTAGATTCATCCATAAAGTGTTGGGATGAAGTGATGTCAATTTCTTGAGCTCTACGGGCTGCTTTCAACCAATCGTGGTAGCATATAAGCATCTCAAGAGATTCAACGCTCAACCTCGTTATGGTTTGTGTTAGGACATTGCCGGCCGAACTAAATTCTTGTTCCACGGCAACCGTTGAAACCGTCATCGATAGCACTTGTGTCACGCCCCGGACCGCATCCGAGCCACGTAGACAACCGCCGTACAACCCGATAAGAACAACAACAGTTCATCCCTATTGAGTTGTACAAGGCGTCCGATTGATTCTATTGCCAAAACGATTAGTAAACACATACAATCAACATCAATATCATAATCAAACAAATGCGGAAATAATAAAATGTTTGATACATAGCCACACGTGGCAAACACTGGCACGCAGGCCCCCAACTGTTTTAATGAAAATATTGTTCAAAAATCCATGAGCGGTTTATACATTTGAAATAAGAATGGAAGCACGAACCACGTCTTCCTTCTCGATCAATCACCCTAGGCAAAGGTGCAGGTAGTAGGACTCTAGCCTCAACCTGAAAAATGTGAGGGCCCCCGGAGGGGTCAGTACTCCATAGAAGTACTAGTGACAAGCAGGCTATATGAAGAATAACTAATGTTTCAGACACGAGACCCAAAAATAGGGTGATACATATATATATGTGACTCATTCATCCGATGATACATACTGTATATATATATATATATATATATATATATATATATATATATATATATATGTAAAATACTCGACCCGTAGGTCATTTCATTCAAAGAGTCTTTTAGAGATAAAGTTCTTACCTGACCTTTCTCACCCTTTTCCCGAATGCCTAGCTCACCAGCTACATTCTACATTCATGATATCCTACCGAGTTTTGGGAGCATTTAGCATCCCGGGGATGCTCAACCCCAACCGAGTTTCAGGATCATTAAATGTTCCGGGGATGCTCAACCCCAACCGAGTTTTAGGATCATTTGTAGTCCCGGGGATGCTCAACCCCAACCGAGTTTCAGGATCATGTATGGTCCCGGGGATGCTCAACCCCAACCGAGTTTCAGAATCATTTAATGTCCCGGGGATGCTCAACCCCAACCGAGTTTCAGGATCATTTATAGTCTCGGGGATGCTCAACCCCAACCGAGTTTCAGGATCATCTAATGTCCCGGGGATACTCAACCCCAAACTAAATCCTTACCAAGCCCTAACCTGGATATGGCTAACCTTTCGTTCCTTCAACTATGGACAATACCTAGCCCTATAGTCATATAACCATCCTTAGGAACCAATGTGGGCGGGTCCCACCTGAACGGCCCACATTAACCCGCTCAAAACTGCCCGTTTTGAGCATAAATCAATACTCGATCATGTATCTACCCATACTCGGTCGAGTACAGGAGGCGGTAGCCCCCAAAGATAATTTTCCATGTATACTCGATCGAGTATCTACCTATACTCGATCGGGTATAGGAGACAGTAGCCCCCTGGGCAATTTTTCAGCAAATACCCGGTCGGGTATGTGTCAATACCCGGTCGGGTATGGCAGTTGACTTGGCGGTCAACGCCCCTTTTTACCCCCCAAACGGAGTCCGATTAACTTGAAATTTTATACACATATACTTCTTGATGTCCTTGATCCAAAAATACCATTTTGGATCCCTGGATCATCACACAAAATATATTATCACATTTTTAATCACCAAACCTACATAACATGCTTTTCAACTATGTTTTATGCAAAATCATGGCATAAGCAAATACTTGATTATCTTTAATCATTCCACAAAACATATCCTTGATTACTTTAGGTAATCTCATGCCTAACGCAAAAGTTATAAAGCATAAAGCCGTCTTCTCACCTTAATGAAGCTTATGAAGTTCTAGCCTTCCCGATTTAGCTCCGGCGAAACTCCGGCGAACTTCAACGAACTCCGGCGACAACTCCGGCGACTCTTTCAACTCCGTGAAAGTTCCTTGAATACCTTAGACAAGTTACTAACAAGGTTTTATCATCATAAAACCCATAGTAATACAAATAATCCCCAAAAGGTTATTTTCCGGCGAACCGGTTACTTTGGCTCCTAAGTCCGTTCTTGGACTTAGAACTACCTTCCAACCCCTCTTTCTACACATAACAACGTGTAGAACAATACTAGGGTGTGCAATATGATTGAATAATCATATAAGAGGATTAAAGACAACGAAATGGGATTAATGGGGTCCTTACCTTGCTAAACACAAGTTTTCCCACCTAAACTCCTCTTTTCTCTTCTCTTTTTCCTTTCTTCTTCCTCCCTCAACTTGGTGCGTGTATGGATGAAGAAATGGAGTAGTTTCAGAGTTCCTCTCCCTTCCTTGGATGATTGAGCCGAGCATATGGGGTGTGAGGGTGAGAGGGATAGCCTTTTTGGCTTATTCACCAATAATATGGGGGAGGGACCCCTCTCCATTTATTGGTTTGGCCTCCCATCAACTTTTGCCCCTTTTTCCTTATGTTTGTGCGGCTCCCCTTGAATCCTTGCAGAGCTAAGGACGTGGGTTGGCCCCCACTTATGTGGGAGGTCAACCCTTTGTGTACCCGAGTGTACAATCGGTCCCGAAAGTTGTATTTTCCGGACTGTTTTAAGTATATTTTATTTTATCGGGTCAAATAAAATATAACACTTGTTTCCAATCCTTATTGGACCTTAGAATCAATATGATTCCCCAACTTTAATTTAGAAATCTCCAGAATCCCTTTTTGGGCTGTTATCAGATAAATTGCCGATACCGATAATTTGGCCCCGTTTGACCAACCGGTCAACTCTATGCCATTGCCATGGCCCAATTAGGATATCTATCGCCATATACATATTATCTAGTCCAAGATCAATATAATATGTGCTTCCGATAATATCGGGCGGCCCCACATCCGGTGTGGGCCCCACGTGAATTCTACTATTCACGTAATAGAAATGATAAAAAGTTTACAATCACGTAAAAATGCTTTTATACATTTCTCAAGGTTCAATACATAATTTGGTACAGTACAAATACTCGGGGGCGGTGTTACAACTTGCTTAGCCATCTTTGCTAAAATCGGAAACATTCTTTCTTTTCCCTTCCACCAGTTTAGTACGTCAAAATTATCATCTTCTTCAAAATCAACATCATAAGTTAAATACAAAGAAATCTCATTAATTGTGCTTTGTTGTGTAGCGGGAGTTGATTTCGTTTTTTTAATAAGATTGGCAAACGTAGATTTGAAAATTGATTTTCCTTTAGATGATGTTTGTGTCGGGGGAGGGGGCGCATTGCCATAACTTGAGGAGCATTTAGCTTGTTTCTTAAATACTCAGCCATATTCACAACTGCATCTTTAGCGGGGCTCTTTCTTTTGTTCTTCATATTTGTGGCTTCTTTCACATATTCATTGTGATCCTGTGAAGCACTTTTTGACATGCCTTGAGGTTGTTTATTCCTCAAAATTCTATTAAGTGACTGTGGTGCAATATACTGTGGCTGTTTTTTCTGCAAAATGACAACATTACAGCCAATAATTCTTAATAAGACTATTCAACATTCATACACACATATATTAAATATTATATGTTTGCCTAGAAGAAAAACTTCAATAAGAGGAATTAAGTATTTGTTACTTTTTTTGGGAAATTTGCACCTTCAACCATATTTAGGGAGTTACTTTCTTCAATTGTGGGAACATAATTAGGATCTTTACTCGATTTCTCTTTTCTCTTTCTCCCGCTCTGACTGTCCACCAAAGTTGATAATGAAGTTGAGATATCAGCAAGTTTTAAAGTGGTCATCTTTTCCTTATTCTGGCGAATTATTTCGATGCGTTGCTTCTCATAGTCTGACATCGTTTCTCCAAATGCTGATGTTCGCTTTGATGCTATATTTCTTGCCATGTTCTCTTTTTTAATTCTCTTCATCTGTGTCTGCACAATAAAACAGAGAGCACATAACCTTTAGCACAACTTATATGTGTAACTATTTATTGCAAAAAAAATGAATTTAAACTGAGTAAAAGAGACAAAGAGGATATACCGGTTGTACAAGTAATCGGGGACATACCTAGCTTCAAGAATACAAGATGGATTACCCAAATCATAAATTAAATTGATTGATAAGAAAAGAAACTGATTGAAATCTGCATATATAACCTGCTATTTGAA